CAAGACATCCTGTCCTATGTGCCGCACTGGTATACCACAGCAGCCCAGGTATGTGTGACAGGCTATTCCCAACCTGTAAATAAAAAGAAATTTCACACGTCCTATGAATTGTGGCAATCAATTTCATTGAGGGTGCTCTCGTCATCACCTCCATAGCTTGGTGATAGCTCTTGCTTTCATTAAACTGCAATACGAAGAACACAAACAGTTCATTGAGGAAGGGAAAGTTGTGAAAATCACATGGTTCTGTGCCTCCAGCTCGCAAAACTTTATCCCAAGTCAACCCTGCTAAAAACGCACCTGCCGATATTGCCACCTTCCTTCCTCAAGTTTTGTTATCGCAATGTTACACTGTACGTAACTCTCAGCATTGTTCTGATAAACAAGAGTTCATTACCCCATTTTTGAACAGTTGAATGTATTTTTGATGCATTGTCAACGTGCGATGGCTACACACAAGCGTGAGCAGGGATGCCATAATCACAGAGGCAGTGATGCTACTGGCTTAGGCTGCTTTGGAGCAGCTTTTGGAGCAGCTAAAAATGCGCTTTGGAGCACAATAACTGCCTTTCCGAGCAGATAATGCTAGAGTCAATTTTAAGACACCTATTACGTTCATGAAGGAATCCGTAAACTGGGGTTGTGTTGAGCCGACGTTCCAACAAGTGGTCTTGTCTTCCTCAGAACAGAACTGCTCTGTTCTAGCCTTGAGAAAGACAAGTCCGCTTGTCAAAACGTCGGCCTGACACCCTGTCCCCCTCAATCCCTCTTTACGAATTCTTTCATTGCAAGGTTCAATCCACCCCTTCCTTGTTCAATGTCGTTCAATGTCACAGTAATGTCCAAAAGTCGGCTTTGCCGCAATGCATAAATGCTATGGGGTGAAGTAGATAAAAAAAAAAAATCTAAGGGGCTGGTATTATTGGAGCCAGGTGATGTCTCACGAATAAGCACTAGAAATGCTCGGAGGCGTGATGGTGGCAATGCGGCAAATATACCAATAAGAGTTAAATCACTTTATGATAAATATCTTCAGCTAACTGCTTGTTACGGCATCTGGCGCAGTTATTGGCGTACTGCATGTCGCCGTCCACGCAGCTTTTCTATGCGAATTGGCTAAGTGCGCCGCACTGATGTGATGCCTTCACGAATGAAAGCAGCTCCCCATTGCCGCGCCCGTGTGCGATCAGGTACAGAGTGGGCATCAAGAACACTTTTTTTATGACAAACATGGCGTATGAAAGCGCCCCGGTAGGAACGGCGTCAGCTGTGTAGGCTTAGTGCTTCACATAACTAGAAACGATAGGTCTCGTGTGGCAGCAAGTGCTACACGACGCCAGAGATTTTCATATCGTGGCGCATCTTCCAAGTGCATACACGCACTGTAGAGGTCCGAACAAGTATTCCTCTATTCTGTCACACCCTTTATGTTCTCCGTCATCGTTTCCACAAGCTCCATGCGATAAAATCCGCAACTTATTCCACGTTTCGCTGGTATCGGCAGCGCTCATCACGCGACACATATTTGCAAATGAACATCAGCAGGCCCTGAATGTATTTACGACAGCCTGAGCGTGCACCGAAATGCCTGATAAGTGTACTCTAGGAGGCATTGAAGCTATTTCAGATGGGGCTGTGGCAATTTGATCACTTGAGCCAAATAAGAAGTCATGAATCTTCTTTCGCACGATTTTCCAGTCCCTAGAAAGTCTGAAAAATCGGGTATTCACTGTGTCCCAACCATCCATGGTGCCAACGGAGACATTTAGGTACGCAAGTGCACCACGATGTCATTTTGAAGGGAAGAACCTCAAGTAGTTTCCTTTCTGAAAGTCGGAGCACGCCCTTTGGCGCAAGTTGGGTGCAGGCTTGCCAAATTTTGAGGAAATGTAGCAGCATGTAGCAGCCAGGGTGATTCGACACAGTTCGGCTCAATAGGCGCAGCGGTAGCATCACTACAAAGGCGCATGCAGGGTACATGTGTTCCTGTCCCCTCTCCCCTTTCCATGAAAGCGCCGAACCCTTACACCAGCCGGGAGCATTGTGTGTTCCAGTGCTGTTCATAGTAGTTCTGAACTGAGTGTTTTGAGAGAAGCAGGCTGGCATTGTTACCTTACTCGTTTCGGGCGTGTGTAATGTGACCTCTAGTTTATGGCGCAGATGCTAGACGTCTTTCGATTTGGTTAAAGACCTTAGTGGTGACATTTCGGCTCAGTATCCCTTAATTGAAGAGTCTACAATATATGATAATCGATATGAAAATATTTCCACACACTGTGCTAATCGAGTCTGCCTTCCCCTTTGGCGCCTCGTTCTCCAAGCTTTTCCGAGCGCTGGCCCGGTGTGGCTTGAGCGTCAAGACATGGCCTCCATGGCCTCTCCGCCAGGCCTCTTTCCGTGCATCGGTTGTCCACGCACGAAGACGTATGTCCAAACTTGCCCGAACAATGCCTCCCCGTCGCGTCATGCCAGCACACTTCACGGTGCTTCGTCGATCCTTATTGATCGCCCGTAAGACACCCTTCCCAGTAGCTTGCGTTCAAAGGCCTGCACGGGAAGTAGAAGTGCTGCTTTTGCTCGGCTGCTGCCCTTTGTGTAATAGCCTTAGCACCCGACAGCAAGCACACACTCGATCGGTCTTACGGAGTTCCCTGCCGGCCCGCAAGCCTGTGTTTGTTGCACTGTGCTGTATCTTGGGTAAATAAACCGATGCTTGTTGACGACTTGCCTCAAAAGCCATCTCTGTGCCATGTCCGAGAGACGAAGAACCTGGCGGTAACGTCTTTGTGCGCAACGGCAGTGGCGAGTGCCGTGTCCCTTCTCAGTCGCTTCGTAGGGTAAGCCGTTAGCGAACTTATCTCCCCAACACATGGGACTATTTCAGTACATTAATAAAGCTTCTCTTGGTACTTAGGTGGAAACTGCAGCGTAAACCAAGACAGACCCCAAAAAATAGATGAGACAAGGGTTGTCGATGACGCAAAACAGCCATATTCCGTGCCTCATTAAGGCTTTCACATTCATAAATAGCCAAGCCCGCATATAACAGCCCCACTTAAAACAAACTTTTGCATAAAATGAACGATACCTGCGTGACTGTGGAATATACATTATTTCAATGGCACAAAATCGCACTTACAATGAACGTCTTTGAGCATTGTCGATCGGTTGCAGCGAACGGAGTCGGCACTTCGACGACTTCCCGGGTCATCACTTCATCATCAGCCATCATACCACCAGTAATCCATCGGGCAAGTGCCCATAGATTCTTATTGTTAAACGCCGACCCTGCCTCCGCAGCCCTCCAGGTGTTGCTCTCTCCAACCATTTTTTGTCATGCACCCCTCCGTCGTTTGTCGCCCCCCCTCCTCTGAGTACCCCACATCGCCAGATGAGGCCTGTGTTTTCCCAATGCCACCAATCTTTCAAAGACTGGTCGGCCAACTAGTCTATCCTCAGTTTTTGATCCCTAGTTTTGTAACACGAACGTTGGCGTCGCTGGCCTGGAGTGGCCAGACCATTTGCCAACATCTTTGGCCATCAACTGTACCCGATTGTTTGCGTCTGTCTTGTCTGCATTGGTGTCGTATCTCGTTCCAGTGCACGTGTTTGCGCATCTCCACCAACTTTGATATTTCCCGATTCATTTCGTGTTTAGGACCTGTTCTCGCTCACTTCGCACTGGGCTCAGCATGCTCTCCGCACAGGTTTGGAAGCGTAAAAACTGCTTTTACACAGAACAAATAGTGAATTATCAAAGTCGGAAGGACCATGCAAGTCTACCGGTGCCAAAATGCGATTCTTTGACCTCTGTACGAGGAGACCGCTCTCCCAAATTTTTTATTGCACAAGTTGCGCATTTCGTGGACTCTGCAAGCAAGCTACCCGACCTGCCTTCTTCCCACGTGTTTTGGTATTCAAGGTCAGCTTACCGCCGCATGCTCACCTCTTATCACTCCACCGCAGCTTATTCCCGTGTCTCTTGCAAGTCTACTCTCCTCTCTTTATCGCAACTCCGCCCGTCTCCACCGCTCTGCGATGCCAGCCGGCAGCCACACTGGCCCGAATTTAGAAGTTTCGTTCTCTGACTAGAAAGGAGCCCAGAGCAGTTCCATGTGTGTTATCTTCTACGTCGTGTGTGCACATCAGTTGGTGTGCGTGTGTGGTCAGGATTGAAGATGGGAGGACTTTCGCGTTTTTTTCTGCCGCTCAACAAAACATCAAAGGTGTAACCACATGGGTAGGACGTAATCTGCGCAATAAAGACTTATTATGGGTGCCGCTTTGTGGAGCACTTGCTCATATCTGTTGACCTCCCAGCAGTCAACTTGTCGTATCGTGCGTCCCGGTGATCAGATGGATATGGTGATGGCTACATGTGTGCGAAACTGTTTTTGCGAGGCTGACTTCGTCGATGTCAGACCCGACGACGCGCCTGAAGCTTCCAAACAGGACCACTTCGGTGGTGATTTGTGGCAGCGTGTTGTCAACTCTGACATCAGCGGACGTGTGGGACATTTGCTGCAATGAATTGATTATGGCCGATAATGATGCCGACAATGCGGAACCGTGCACGGATTAGGGCATTGTGAATGAAGTGCAAGGCAAGAGTGATTTGGAGGAATCGAATGGCGAGAATGACAAAACTTTGTAGCCAGTGCCCACAAGCGTGCCTGTAGCAATTGGCTACATTATTAGCCTCAGGCAGCTTGTATATGTCATGGGCCTCGGCCAAGAGACCGCTGCCACTTAAAATAAACTCGAGACCTTCCTTATCGCTTCTGCTATTCAAAACACATTACGATCTTTTTGTGGAAAAAAATTTGTGTTTCCACTGGCAACTTTTTTTCAAAGCTGTACTTCATTTATTACGAACTTGGAGATAGAGCATATGAATGCTGTGTCATTATAAGTGGGCCTTACTGCATATTAATAGCAGCATCTATCAACACCAGGTAAGACAAACAACTTTCCATGTGTAATGGTTGATAATGACTCACTGGCCGGGGCTCCCCTGAGTATCGGCGGTTGTAGTCATTGATGTCTCGAAGCAGGCGAGCTCTTTCCTCACGCTGTGCATCCGTTTCATCTGGCAAGTGTTGGTCTTGGAAACAGCGCAGCATCACAGACACCTGCACAAGCACACCACTGCATTATAGAAGCGTGTTGGGATAGTTCGAAATATACGCCCCATTATTGTGAGTACTTGTATGATTGTGGACGTCTTAAAAAATTAGTGGCACCTATTTAGAGCTGCATATGACATTCCTGCAGTCCAAAGAAACAACAAACAAAACCATACACCAGTTTTTTTTTTGTTTTTTTTTTGCGACCTCCACTTGTTACTGCTGTACGAATTCCCTGAATTTCGAGGTTGCCAAATCGGCCAATCCACATTTGAATTTGCAAAGTCGCTCAAAGGATTTTACAGGCACTGCAAATGCATGTGGAGTTCATCATTGTTCGCACAGTGGCATGGTTCCAAATGGTGCTTTTATTGAACCAGCAGTGCCTATATTCACTGTGAGCAATGTAGGTGATGTAATGACGTGGACATGGGCCGGGCATGTAGCGCGTTGAAAGGATAACCGCTGGTCATAAGAGGAACTAACTGGATTCCCAGAGAAGGCAAGTGGGTTAGAGGGACTCAGGAAGTTCAGTGGACAGATGAGATTAAGCAGTTTGCGGGTATAAAATGGCAGGAGCAAGCACAGGACCGAGTACATTGGCAGAACATGGGAGAGGCCATTGTCCTGCAGTAGACGTAGTCAGGCTGATGATGATGATGATGTACTGACGTGCCCTTGGTAATGATTTATTCATCAAACCCAACTTTTTCTTCATGTAGCAGCGATGTCCTATGCCTTCGCCACACGTGCCCTGCGTCACATCCTCCTCTTCAGTTTTCATCACACTTCTGCGGCCGCCTTCAGTAGGTAGATGTTGTAGAGGATGTCTGACTTGCAGGCCACTGGACAGCGGTATCATAAAAAAGCGCGCAATACCCGAAAACACCTTAACAAGGGCTTCTTTTCACCTGAAATGCCTTCATAACACAACCCGTCTTCCATGTGACAGGCAGCATATTTAAATCTTCTATCAGGATGAGATCCTCGGGTTGTACGTTTGACAATGGCAAAAGCTCTCTGTGTGAGCAGCACGCAGAAACAGAATAGATTTATTCTTCCACAGATTCCGCAATAGGTGTTCCTGATGCTGTGCTCTTTTTCGGAGATGAGAGGCAGCAGCACTGAGGACAACAATTTTTAGGGGGCTTTATGGTCTAGGGCAGTCGTACCCAGCACAGCATATCCCCAGACGGACAGACGAACGCTTCGCCCCCCTCATCATCATTCACTTCGTGGTTATGGTGCGATTTTTTCCATTCTGTGGGCAGAGTGATGAGACCCTTGCAAACTAAGAAGTGGGATGGTGTAAGAGCGTCTGTTGATGTGACACCATCTTCCAAGTGCATGAGCCGATGACAGTTAACTGCCGCTTCGACTTCCGTTAGTGCAATGAGCAGTTCGTAACGGAAGCTGCTACGTCTGAGGCAACGACTGAGTGCTTCATTAATGGTGTGGATGATGCATTCCCAAAAGCCTCCCTACTACGGTGCACATTTGAACTACCGTATATCAGAGCAGTGCACCGCTGCCAGCCGTTTTAGCTCACCCCGTTTGCGCCACCGTCGAAGTTCCAACAGAGACACTGTCGTCGCTGCTGCACAATAATTTGCGCCGCGCCGCCGTTTGCTATATTTTAACCCGACTGGGCGATCTGGGCACAAAAAAGCACCACCTCACCTTCTTTCCTGCAACTTAAAGATTTCTGAGAGGGTCATTTGCAGTGTTGTGACAGCTATCTTGTTTTGGTGTTTGCGTGTGCAGCAGGTGTATATTAATCTCAACATACACAGTCGAGAGTGTTATTCTCTCTTGGCGTTTCTCGTTCTTTTGGCGCCCTTTGTGATGCCAGAACAGTGACTCGCATGTGACATGATTAGGGCGTATATTCTAGAATGGTCCCTACACGAGAAACATGAGTTGTAAATTGTTTTCTACTGCGATTTGCCATACACTTGCCACACGCCGCCTCCGTTCTTCGTCGCGTCTTGCAGTATTATCATGCACGATGAACTAGTGATTTCAGTGCATTCTGAGAGTTTTCAATTGCGCAAGTGGAAATAAGAAGAGTATAGCCGAGTAGTTCGAAATCCTGATGGGCTCATTGCTTAGCACTCACACTGCATACATGCTTTATGAAGACATAAATGTCCAAGAACCTGTAAGAATTGTAGTAAAGACAGTGTAGTGCAGAGTATTCAAAAAGCAAAACCAATGAAAAAGGCTCCGAATTATTTTACTCTCTCAACAGACGAATTTTTTACGGCGAAGACAACGCAGCTCTCCATAACAAATACCAGCTCGTTTCGATGGTTTTTGTATATTTTTTTATAGCGAGAAGAATTCTATAGCTTTCACCAACCTTGTCATGTTCCGTAAGAAGTCCAAATTAATTACTTTTGTACGCATACTGTATGCTGTTCCTGTGGATAAAATCTCACAAACATTATAGCGAGGAGCACTGCTGAAGCATAGATGAAACAATCTGCCCATCTGATGATGATGATGGTATATTTTAGTGGCGCAAGGGCAACTCAGGCCAAAGAGCGCCAAACACACGGTTTTTGGTCGATTATATTATAAAAGTCTACTCAGGGTGGCAAAAATAAAAGAGTAATGTATAGGACTTAAACTTAGGTGTAGTGACTATGTGTGATGGGTTTAAAACGGGCTATGCTCATGAGTTTTACAAAGTCATGCCGTGTCGTCAACAGCCCTTGTCAAGACAAGGAGTGCGTGCTGCATGACATATGATAAAAAAATCTCAGCGATTCCCTCAGGATTGAGAGGAGGCTGAGATTAGTGAGAATATGTTATGGAATGTAGGAAGCCTACACTAGCTAAAAACTTTAACACTACTTTCGGGGGAAACAAGGGATCATCTCCAAGAAAAAATTGTGGATGAGGCGGAATGTGACATTTGTACAGCTTTGGAAAGTGACACAGTCTTTCTGGTTCGAGGTACGAACAGGTAATTAGAACGTGAACGACAGACAGCTCATCACCACATTTTGCACAATGTGGTGCTGGAGAGTTGTTTAAAAGGTGCGAGTGTGTTGCATGTGTATGACCGATCCTGAGTCTGCACAGTGCAACCTCTTGGTGCCTGTTACGTTTTTCAGTCACATATCTTCATATTCTCGGCTTTACTAAGTGTAGTTTGTGTGCATTTGCTGCGTTCCATTCTTCTTGCCATTGTCTACGCATTCGGGATGCGATGACTGGCCTCAGGTCCTCATACGGGATGGTGTCTACGTCGACTGATGGGCGGAGTGCTGCTGACTTCGCAAGTTTGTCCGTTATCTCATTGCCAGCAATGTTGCAGTGTCCCGGAATCCAGTATAGCGTGATTTTGAGCTTAGATTTGCGGGCTGACAAGATGCATTTTCGAAGTGTATTAGTAACTGGGTTTTTGAGTATCTTAGTGGAGGACAGCGCAGTCACAGCACTGAGAGAATCTGTGTATATGATTGAGGCTGGTTCTTTCTCCTTTAAAATGTGCGTTACAGCTAAAAGTATGCCATAGCATTCTGCAGTAAATATACTGGTATGTTCGTTCATTGTTCTAGATTCAGAGAAAGCGGGACCGCGTGCCGCACATGTGACTGCGGAGGACTTGGAGGCATCAGTATAATATTCAGCACACCTGTATTTGGCCTGCAGGTACTTGAAGTGTTGATCGATTGCGACTGGGTGGCCGTTTTTTCCTACCTCTAGGAATGACACTCCACCAGTAATGATAGAAGTCAGAAAAGCTTTGGAGAGCAAGCAAAGAGGCAAAGCTGCTGGTGAGGATCAGGTAACATCTGATCTGCTGAAAGATGGAGGACAGATTGTGTTAGAAAAACTAGACACCCTGTTTACGAGGTGTCTCCTGACGGGAAGAGTACCAGAGTCTTGGAAGAACGCTAACATTATCTTAACACATAAGAAAGGAGATGATAAGGACTTGAAGAATTACAGGCCTATCAGCTTGCTCTCCGTAGTATACAAGCTATTTACAAAGGTAATTGCTAACAGAGTAAAGAAAACATTAGAATTCAATCAACCAAAGGAACAAGCAGGATTTCAAACAGGCTACTAAACAATCGACCACATTCATACTATCAATCAGGTAATAGAGAAATGCTCAGAGTATAACCAACCGCTATACATAGCCTTCATAGATTACGAGAAGGCGTTTGATTCAGTAGAAATATCAGCAGTCATGCGGACACTGCAAAATCAGGGCGTTGACGAAGCATATATAAACATCCTGGAATAAATTTACAGGGGGTCAACTACTACCATGGTGCTCCATAACGAAAGCGACAAAATACCAATCAAGAAGGGTGTAAGGCAGAGGGATACAATCTCCCCAATGCTATTTACCGCGTGCTTACAGGAGGTTTTCAGAAGCCTAGAATGGGAACAGTTAGGGATAAGAGTTAATGGAGAATACCTTAGTAACCTGCGCTTCGCCGATGACATTGCATTGCTGAGTAACTCAGGGGACGAATTGCAACTCATGATTATGGAGTTTGACAAGGAGAGCAGAAATGTGGGTCTTAAAATTAATCTGCAGAAAACGAAAGTAATGTACAACAACCTCGGAAAGGAGCAGCGCTTCGAGATAGGTAATAGTGCACTTGAAGTTGTAAAAGACTATGTCTACGTAGGGCAGGTAATAACCGCAGAGCCGAACCACGAGATTGAAGTAACTAGAAGAATAAGAATGGTGTGGAGCATATTTGGCAAGCACTCTCAAATTATGACAGGTAGATTGCCACTATCCCTCAAGATGAAAGTATATAACAGCTGTATCTTGCCGGTACTTAGCTACGGAGCAGAAACCTGGAGACTTACAAAGAGGGTTCAGCTTAAATTGAGGATGACGCAGCGAGCAATGGAAAGAAAAATGGTAGGTGTAACCTTAAGAGACAAGAAGAGAGCAGAGTGGATTAGGGAACAAACGGGGGTTAAGGATATCATAGTATAAATCAAGAAGAGGAAATGGACATGGGCTGGGCATGTAGTGCATAGACAGGACAATTGCTGGTCGTTAAGGGTAATTAACTGGATTCCCAGAGAAGGCAAGCGAGTTGGGGGGAGACCGAAAATTAGGTTCGCAGATGAGATTAAGAAATTTGCGGGTATAAATTGGCAGCAGCAAGCACAGGACCGGGTTAACTGGCGGAACATGGGAGAGGCCTTTGTCCTGCAGTGGACGTAGTCAGGCTGATGATGATGATGATGAAGGTGGAATTGAGACAGCTGTTGCACCTCTGCACCTGACATGAGTAATCACAACCATATCTATTTCACCATGAAGGCAATAGAATAAACTAAACCCAGAATGCGACAAATTACACGGGAACAGCTGAATTTAAGTAAGCGAGTTTTTTTTTCTGCTAAGACGATAGATGATTTGCTGATGCAGCTTCCACTTGCCAAGACCTCATTGATAATTCTGGTGCTATCATTAGTGTGAGTGGCCAACAGTGTTGCTTTGTCAATAAAGACATGCATTTGCATTGCGTGCCTCCCTCTAGGAAGCCATCACTGCCTCTTTTTGAATGTGCTCAAACAATTGCATGTGCAGGTATCTGCCTATCTACCTGCAGTAACTATGACCACAACAGGACACAGGTACACTGTATATGACACCCCTAGCTCATCTAACAATTATTTTGGTGTGTGAAGCATCTTAGAACCTCACAATGTCCGTCCAGCTGGCGTTGTCTAGAGCAGATGTAGCGCCGATGCATGCGAGCAAACCAAAAAATCTGTGAACAAAAAGGTTATCAAAAGGCTGGTAATTAGAAAAAACAAAATAAAAGGCCACAACACCATAAAAACACCCAAGTTTAGCTACTCATCAATCAAAGCATATCACAGAACAAAAGGTTAACAAGAACAAATAAAAAAGCAGAACAAATTAGAAGGCTACGATTAACGACCCGATGCACACTGCTTTGCCTTATCGTCAGCATTCCCTTCGTGAACATGCGTAGACTTTTTTTTTAGTTCTGTTAGAACTTATAGCCTGCATGAAAATGGCTCAACGACGGCTCATTCAGAAGTCTGACCAATCAGAACACTTTTTAATGATACCTAAGTTGAACTGGCAATTTTAGGGTCATTATGAGTGAGTATACTTATGCCCCCAGAATGGCACTCTGATGGCGCGCTGCTACATGAGACAAGTAAGCCCATTTTGGAAATAATGGTAATGGTTACCAATGTACCACAACAGGTATTTGTTATTTTAGGCAATTGTTCTTAAAGAATAATGTGTCAAAGTTACAAGCAGCGCTAAATAAAACTATGTACGAACGTGATGTCACCGTGTGTTGTGGGCATGCCCCTCACAGCTGTGAATTGCTCAGGAGTAAGAATAGCAGAGCAGTGTTTTGTTGTATAGTATGTTTTAATTGATCGGATTGATTGATTTGTGGTGTTTAACGTCCCACAACCACTATTTGATTATGAGAGACGCCGTAGTGGAGGGCTCCGGAAATTTAGACCACCTGGGGTTCTTTAACGTGCACCCAAATCTGAGTACACGGGCCTACAACATTTCCGCCTCCATCGGAAATGCAGCCGCCACAGCCGGGATTTGATCCCGCGACCTGCGGGTCAGCAGCCGAGTACCTTAGCCACTAGACCACCGTGGCGGGGATTAATTGATCGGAATATTCCTAATACAGAAAACAGTCGTTGAACTCAGCTTTGTATAATCAATTATTCTCGAGCCACTGCTACCGAGGCTAGAGCCTCTGTCACAGCTAGGAGAGTTTGGCAAGCCCACAAGTGTGCTGTGTCGTGAGAGTGACTACATGTTTCCATTTTACAACGCGTGAATGACACTTGCAGTACCTCCTCAAAGTGCACTGAAGTTGGCCCACTTGACAGAGCTATAGTAACTCCCTCCCCACAAACAAGCAGAACTCACCTGTTGCCGGCACACCGGACACCTGACTGCCCCTCTCCAGTTGCCATGGTGCCAGTAGGAGACGAGACAGCTAGCTGCAAGCACAACCCCCAATTAAGTAGGTGCAACAACTCCTCATTTGGTGCAACGATCCTGACTCAGAGGACCAAACACTATGTTTACAAAACCACGTTTTTCTTTACAGCGAAAGCTCTTATGAGATCACAACTCGAATCACGCGCAGTTGTCCACTGCCGGTGTCTGTAACCATAACACGCGAAATTAGAAAAACAAACCTAGCGTCAAAGACACAGTCGGGCTCGAAACCCAGATCTGCTGGAAGGCAAGCCCAGTATTCTACCACAGAGCTACGACGGAGCTTGTGACTTGTTGGCAAACTTGCCTTAGACAGGCTTGATGTCGAGAAAGCAATCGCGTTAATACGACTTATAAAGCGTTTTAAAACAGCGGAAGAACAAGCAGTTGTCGCACAATGCGAATAGCACAACGAGTGGGCCATCCAATGCTCCAACTCATTACAAAAGCTTGTTCTTGTTCCCTAACTAACTATGGCGCACACCCACTTCAGGAACAGTTCCTCATTGTCGTCAGCCACTGCGTGAACAATTGGCACAAAATTCCTTGCAAGTGTTTAGTGGATACCACGCTTCTCAGAAAAATGATGAAAAATAGCATACCGAATGCTGGATTACCATCCAAAGAATTTTATTATTAATGCTCTAGTGGGTATCAAGCAAGTGTGCTTGCAGTAATTACCTGATGAGTGTTTTGAAAAAGCTCTGAAAGGCTGCTCTTCTAGCTTTCGCTGTGACTGTGCAGCGACTTCCGCGCAGGCCTGGAGTTTTTTTATTTGGAAACAATCACAGCAACTAACTTGGCAAAAACATTTTTGTCAGATATGTTGTGCTAGCTCATATGCAATCAAGTTCAGCAGCATGTTACACTCACAGGCATTGAAAGAAAGAAGTGTAAACTTGAGGGCTCACTTTATTCTTTAGAGGCAATGAGAAATAACAGACAGAAATGCAGAGTATGGGGTATGTTATTAGTAGGAATGATAATGTAAATGTGAAGAAAAAAAAGTGGACGAAAAGATAACTTGCCACCAGCAGGGACCGAACCTGCCGCCTTCAAATAATTTGTCAATTCGGTTGACTGGGCGAGTCAGTGATACATGATTATCTGTCCGAGTCTAAGTAGTACGCTCTCATTTCAAAACAATTTCGAATAATGCATCTGAATAATGCATCTGATAATGCTCTCCAACGGAGTTACGATGGTACTTATCCCACTGTCCCCTTAATAGGGCATACAGTGAAACCTCATCGATACGTTTCTGCTTAGCATGATTTCTCAGTTACTATGCTCAAAATCGCAAAAACTGAAAAAATAACCCCATAGGCACCAGGTGGCCACCGTGCGGTACCAGTTGCGCTCTTTCCGAAAAGCGCTACGAGCGGCAACAGGGGCAGCACTGGCATGTCAAGCAGACGATGCAAAGAAGGCTCTCCTATTTACAACATAGCATTCATAGCGTAACAGCAGTGTTTGGCAGCAGTGTTTAACTGCTGCGTAACAGCAGTGTTTGACTTGGCAGCAGCGGCGGCAGCTTATACCTTTCTACTGATCGCGATACTATCGTCGAACGCACGTGAAGTGTCTTGGTGGCAACATCTTTCGCTCTTTCCGGAAGGGCGGCGTCAACATCTTTCGCTCTTTCGGAAGGGCGGCCGTCGGTCACAATCGTCTGTGACGTCACTTCAGGAGGACTGTGCCGCCAGGGCTCACAAGTATTTCAAGAGGATCATCGGCCGACGTCCTCACTTGGCAGCAGCGGCGGCCGTCTTGGAACGTCGCTTTTACCTACCTTTCTACTGATCGCAGATACTATCGTCGACACGCACGTGAAGCTGTCTTGGTGGCAACATCTTCGCTCTTTTCCGGAAGGGCGGCGTCGGTCACAATCGTCTGTGACGTCACTTCAGGGAGCGACTGGGCCGCCAGGGCCTCACAAGTATTTCAAGAGGATCATCGGCCGACGTCTTCACTTGGCAGCAGCGGCGGCAGTCTTGGAACGTCGCTATACCTACCTTTCTATGATCGCAGATACTATCGTCGACACGCACGTGAAGCTTGTCTCTGGTGGCAACATCTTTCGCTCTTTTCCGGAAGGGCGGCGTCGGTCACAATCGTCTGTGACGTCACTTCAGGGAGCGACTGTGCGCCAGGGCTCACAAGTATTTCAAGAGGATCATCGGCCGACGTCCTTCACTTGGCAGCAGCGGCGGCAGTCTTGGAACGTCGCTTATACCTCCTTCTACTGATCGCAGGTCTGAAATTCTTTGTACTTTGGTTTTTTTTTTTTTTTTTTTTTTTTTTTTTTTGTTTTTTTTTTTTTACTGTCGCTGCTGCTGCCATCCAAGTGTATTGTACTGTCTTTTGCCATGACCTATCCCGCTCAGAGGTGTACAAACTTGTGAAGGATTTAAGACATGACCTGACTGAGATGCGTCAGTCGCTCGAGAGGGAGCTGCGGAAGGAGCATCGTGAGATCAAAACTTCCCTGATTTCATGAATAATGCTTTTGAGGATATGGCAAACCAGCTGAAAAAAATTGAAACTGAAAATGCCGAATTGAAGGCAGCCAACAGCTCCCTCACGGATGAATGCGCGCTTCTAAGAAACAAAGTGACTGAGAATGAACTTAGGATCACTCAACTAGAACAGTACTCTAGAAATAGGAACATTGAGATTAAGGGTGTTCCCATGACACAAAACGAAAACCTGAAAAGCGTACTTGCAGCTATTGGAAATTCAGTAAATGAACCTGTTTCCGAAAGTGACATTGAGGCTTGCCACCGTGTACCAACACGGGACGCTTCACGACAAAATATTGTAGTGCAGTTTCATAGCCGCTCAAAACGAAATGCCTTGCTTGAAAAAACACGACAGAAACGTTTGACCACGGCCGACATCGGACACCAGGAACGCCATCCTATCTTCATAAACGAGCACCTGTGTCCCGCATTGAAAGTGCTTCTCGGAAAAACAATTTGCAAGAAAAATGACAAAAACTGGCGTTTCTGCTGGACGAAAGAGGGCAAAATCTTTGCAAGGAAAAATGAGTCGTCACGTGTCCTACGCGTCACGAAGCTCAGCGACCTTGATAAGATAGAGTAAGTCGAGTACGTACATACCGTTTCCGATATGAAATATGGAAAACCGAGTTTTGTCGGTCTCGGAAATTTGCAGGTTGTCACAAAACAAATATTCATTTTCTGCACTGCATATTAACACACAGTCTGCTAGAAATAAAGAGGAAGAAATACAATGTTTGTTATCGCGCATGGATTTTCAGTTCGAGATCGTGATGTTTACCGAGACATGGTATCGCGATGCTACAGAAGTGATCAAAATTCCAGGATATACTTCTTTCTTCGTAAACCGCAGCTTTAAAAAAGGAGGCGGGGTCATGATGTTAGTGAAAAATGGCATGAATTGTGTTATTGTGGAAGAATTTTCAAGAGCCACTGCTGATTTTGAGGTTCTCACTGTCAAAAATGGTGCTAAAGTGTACAGCGTTATGTACCGTCCACCTCATGCGAGTGTGTCAAATTTCTTCACATTTTTAGATAGTTACCTTAGTTATTTTAATGATGATGCCAGCACTGTCATTCTAGGAGGTGACATAAACATAGACTGCTTGCAACAATCAACAAGTCATGATGAACTTTCTAGGATCTTGGACGCGAACAGTTATATTAATGCAATCAGTCTACCTACACGAATACAACCAACTTCTTCGACACTACTAGACGTCTTTATTACAAATATTTCACCCGAGCATCTTAGTTCTGGCGTCATCAGTTCTTCTGTGAGCGACCACCTACCCATTTATCTACTATCGGCGCAAACAAAACCCTCCACTGCGTCACGACACCCGTCCACTAAATCTTACAGACAGATAAACTCTTTCACGCTGAATAACTTTCGCTCTCATTTGCGTGTAACAGATTGGGGCAAAGTATTAGAAGTTGATGAACCCGAGACAGCGTACAATGAGTTCATAAATGTTTTTAAGGCAGCGTATGAACAATGTTTTCCACGTAAATTAGCGAAACGAGCTCGGAAAGCCCGTAAGCCATGGGTCACCGGGGAACACCTCAAGAGCATGAAAGAAAAAGACAAACTGTATCAGATCTTTATGAAAACAAGAGCTTTAACAGATTTACACGCTTTTAAGCGCTTCAGGAACCAACTGAACAAACAGCTCCGAGAAGCGAAACAAATTTACTTAAGCAATCTTTTCACCCCAGAAGTCCTTAAAAAGCCACACCTTATGTGGAAACGATTGAACACTGTGCTACACGGTGACCCCCAAGAACAATCCACTTTATCAATTAATAGTAACGGCGAAGAATTAACGAATGCACGCTTGGCGAATTCCTTCAACGACTTTTTCACATCACTTGTGAATAGTAAGCACGATCCGAATTGCATTCAATATTTAACAGCACCGATACAGAAAAGCGCATTCTTGTGTCCGACTACTGTGCATGAAATTATAACATCTGTTTTGTCACTAAAAAACAGTATGTGTACGGATGTTCATGACTTCCAAATCAGACCTATAAAATTTGTAATCGATATTATCGCACCAATTCTGGAACATGTTATTAACCTCATGTTTTCTGTTGGCACATTTCCCAAACAACTACAGATGTCAAAGGTAACTGTAATATTCAAGGGTGGTGACATCAATAATTTCTCCAATTACAGGCCAATTTCAATTATTCCAGTCTTTTCTAAATGCATTGAGAAATTGATATATAAACGCATGTCCAGTTTTTCAACGAAGCATAGCATTATTACGCCTTGCCAGTTTGGCTTCCGGAAGGGATGCTCCACTGAGATGGCTCTATTACGCCAAAAGGAGCTTATCTTACAATCTTTCGAAGATCATCTCTGTACACTAGGCATATTCATTGACTACTCAAAAGCATTTGACTCAATTAACCACGATTCCTTGTTTGAGAAACTGCAGCATTATGGCTTTAGAGGCACTTTCTTAAAA